CAAACAGGTTTGTATTGTCACACAGTTCGGCAGCCATTAGTAACACTTAGAAGAACTTCCACAAAGAAGAAGAAGAAGAAAAAGAAGAAGAAGAGGAAGAGATTGGATTTATACCCCGCCCTTCACTACCCAAAGGAGTCTCAGAGTGGCTTACAAACTCCTTCCCTTCCCCTCCCCACAACAGACACCCTGTGAGCTCGGTGGGGCTGAGAACTACGGCTTGCCCAAGGTCATCCAGCCAGGTGCAATTGGAGGAGTGGGGAATCACACCCGGTTCTCCCAGATTAGAGTCCGCGCACTTAACCACTACACCAAGCACAGAAAGGTAGGAGTTTGCTGGAACAGAGCATTTATTTGTGACCGATTTATATGATTCCGAGCTATCGAATCGTCTATGGAAAGAACTGCCTGCTGAGCTGAGCAGCTACGCAGCAATGGACAAATAAAGTTGTAGAACTCGAGGGGGCCGTGTGCGAATGTGGATGTTCAAAGAGCCGATAGTGCTGCACTACGTGGTTAGGAAGGAATACCATGAAGCAGCCAGAACAGCAACAAAAAGGTTGACGAAGAGGCGAACTAATCACTGGAAAATCAGCTCCCTGTTTGTGAAGGGCGAATAGTATGTGATCTGAACTGGTGGGTTTTTGATCATCCCTAGCTAGGAGGCCCTGAGGGGCGCTGTCTTCCCACTGCCGATCAGCTGAGAGGTGGGCCCAGAGGTTTTAAAGGGGACTGACATCACTCAGGCAGCTAGACATGCCTCGGCATGCCCCCCCTTGACCCACAACTGTGGTTGGGGGAGGAGTCCTCTTCCCCTGACGACAAAGCAAAAAAAGAACACAGTAAATGGACAAGGGAACGAATCACATTTAAACGATAGTAGAAGGTAAGCAATTCACTATGGGCCAATGGGGTGTGTACAGCATAAGAGTCTCCAAAGAGATTGATACAGCAATTTGCAAACAGTAATTTCCCACCAGCGGAGCAGGCTGCTTCCTGCATCTCTGAATGAGTCACAGTTCTGGCAGCGTCTACTTGTAATCAGCCTCCCGCTGGAACTGGGTAACTCTGGTGCATTTCTGCACTAGGCATGATTCGTTAACTGAATTGTTTGTGACGCAGCGGTGCAGTAGCAGTGTCCACTCTTGCAGCATGAAATATTGTGTCCTGCAAGCACCGCGAGTGAACTTTCAGCACTCAGGTTTTCAATTGCGTTTCTGCTCTGGGCTTGCCTCCTTCCAATCAGGCAAACCTTTTGGTGAGTCACCGGCTCTTCCATTTGCATCTGGGCATAGATTCATAACGCAAAACCAGAAATTGAAAACCTGAGTGCTGAAAGTTCACTCGCAAACATATCTGACAAAAACTAATGCAGCATGAAATATTTATGTTGCAAGATAATCTTGCGGAAAACACAGGCGTCAATAATAAAATGACAAAACGGTGGACCAAAGTACACAGTCTAGCGTCACAATGAGCGTTATGAACTGAATCGCCTAAACTGCATGAAATCGTACCTTTGATGCAGCCCTGTAGCCAGGAATTTTTCAGGGAGGGCCCCCCTGCCAGGGCGCTAATTAAATTACATTTAAGAAGAAGAAGAGAAGAACAGATTGGATTTATACCCCGCCCTTCACTACCCAAAGGAGTCTCAGAGTGGCTTACAAATTCCTTTCCCTCCCCCTCCCCAACAACAGACACCTTGTGAGGTAGGTGGGGCTGAGAGAACTCTGACAGAAACTGCTCTTTTTCAAGAACAGCTCTGCCAGAACTATGGCTTGCCCAAGGTCATCCAGCAAGTGCAAGTGTAGGAGTGGGGAATCAAACCCGGTTCTCCCAGATTAGGGTCCGCGCACTTAACCACTACACCAAACTGGCTCTCAACTGGCTCTTAACTTAATTGGGGGGGGGAAGCTAGCTTTAAAAGGGAGAGCTGAGCTCTATTAATGACTATAGCAAGTGACCCCCCCCCCAACAGAGGGAGGACAAGGAGATCTTTCTCTTGGAAGCAAACAGCTCCTCTGACCGATCCCTGTTTTTCTACACCTCCTCCCCAGAGTCCGGCTCTAGTCATTCGGATCTCCAAACCTGATAGCCTTTCTGCTCAGCTTTTGCTGGGCAGCTGAGCTGCTCCAGTTAAATCCAAGCAACATTTCACCTCTCCGTGGTCTCTCATTCTGCAGCAGACTACTGGAGTGCCATGCCTCCTGTGGCGGCCCAGCCTGCAGTTGGAGGACTGCACTCAGCTGGCCCTGCCGATCAGCAGGGCACTGGCTTCAGGATGAGCCAAGTGAAAAGACAGCTGCCGTCCAGGCAGGCTCATGCCAACAGTCACAGGAGGACTGCGTGTGCAAGACCGGTTTCCCTTGGAGGCTGGATGTCTAGGCTGGAAGGGGAGGGATGAGCCGGTGCAAATGACTCTGTAGGTGCCACAACAGGGGGGGGGGGAATCAGGGCCTTTCCAGGGCCGGGGAGAGGAGACGTGAGAGCAACAGGTCGACCCCATCCCTAGCCTGTCTGAGCCGGTGGCCAGAAAGCAGGTCTATTCCTCATCCTGCCCTGTCTTGGGGGCATTGAAGATTTGATGGGGGCACTGCCTGTGGCACCCCCTGATGGCTATAGGCCTGCTTTTACGATGAGCCTGGAATATAATTTTGACTTGGAACTGGCACCAGTCACCCTCAGCATTAGTTTCGCAATTCCAGTTCTCAAAGTTCCTCTTCCTCCTCTTAAGAACATAAGAGACGCCAATGTTGGATCAGGCCAAAGGCCCATCTAGTCCAACACTCTGTGTCACCCAGTGGCCAAAAAGACCAGGTGCCATCAGGAGGCCCACCAGTGGGGCCAGGACATTAGAAGCCCTCCCACTGTTGACCCCCCCAAGCACCAAGAAGACAGAGCATCACTTGCCCCAGAGCCCCTATCTATACCTTGTGCCTAATAAATCCAGCAAGTGTAACATCGAGCGGTGGAGCGGATGACGGCAGAGGCAGAGACGGAAGGCGCGGTGACGTGGAGGCGCAGGCGCGGCGGAGCCAAATGGACATTAGCCGGAGCCGTGCTGATGCGAACCGCGCACCAGATGGGCACGCCGAAGAAAGAAAGCCACCAAAAATGGGAAACCTACCCCTGGCCGCCAGAACGGAAGCACCGACCCCGAAGACCGCCGGAAGAAGGAGGAGGAGCCGAGCCGGAACAGCAAGCCCCACCACCTGGATGCTGGTAGGCAGCCCCGCCCCTGTACTATGTGGCCGTAGTTAGGGAAAAGTAGTCTTAGACTTGTATGTAAACCGCCCAGAGACTTTCTTGGTCCTGGCCATGACACTAGTGTGGTCATGCTAGCTCCTTGTCACTTGGTGCTGACGTCCAGAGACTGAAATATCACATGGCTTCCTGTCATATGCTCATGCCTTAGTGGGCCTTGTGTGTGGTGGGTCCCAGCCAAGTTGGGAAAGGTTCAAGCATTTAAGAAAAACTTTAATATATACAGAGAGAGAGAGGGGTAGACAGAGAGGAATCTAGATTAGGGTTATATTTCCACAAAATGCCGTAAGAGAGGACAGAATTACTGAACAGTGACTCTTCTGGAAAAATTAGCTATCTCGGATTCCTAGCTGGAAGGAAAGGTCCTGCCTTTGTATTCAGCTCACTTCCTGGAAAGGATGCTGTCTGTGTGCCGTGAAGTCTAGACAACCATGATGTCTTGTCCTCCAGCCACATGCTGGGTTGCCACTCATCTGGAAGGTGGCTGCCAAGGAACATAGGAAAGTGGATTCCACAGGACCTCCATTTGTTCAGCGAGCGAGGGAAAAAAAATCTAGATTGCCCTCCCAAATACTAGCCAAGGCCAACCCTGCTTAGTTTCTGAGATCTGACAAGATGGGCTATCCAGGATTTATCTATTAAAAGGTGATTAACAACTTTTAATTCTGATTATACAAAAGATAAGTAGGTGAGTTTGGTTCTTTGAAACCAAAGCAGCAAACCAGACAGAGCACCTGTAGAAACATTTATGTTTTATTGAAATAATTATTCTTTTTATTGAGCAAGACAGAAAAAATACAGGCATGAAAAAGTTTAACCCTAAATTACTGTGAAGAAAAAGGCTAAAAAATGATCAAAGTGACTAGCATTGCTTAATCAAATTATACCAACCGGTAGTTTTAAAAAGCAAATCAGGTTTCACTTTTTGTCTCACTGCTGTTAGGGATTATCAAAAAAAACCAAGTTACCCAGCAAGACATCTCATCTAGTCTTCTTCAGAGAATTCCATCCAGAGAAATCTGATTTGCTTGTCACAGGTGTGACAGAAAAATATCAACCATATCTTTCTCAACATCTTTTCTATCATAATCATGCAATTATTATCTAGATAACTGACTGGTACATAACTAAATATGAGATAATCAATACAAGTGCAAAAAAAGCCAACCAGCATGTACATATTACTTTTACCTGATGTAGCTAGGTAAGAAGACCAATCTCAATTCTTAACCTCTATCAAAAGGCAATTAATCTAACTTTTCTTTATTCATTCATTTGTTTGATTTGATTTATATACTGCCCTCCCCTTCTGTAGCTGTTTCAATTAACTTTCCAAGAGGAAAGTAACTCTAAGCAAACAGGATTCATTGACTGTAGAAAAGTGCTTGAACTCTCAGTTTGTTAAGGCAAACTTAGCAAGAAAAGGTTAGTGATATTGCAGCAACAGTCACATAACCATTCTTTGAGTTCTGGCTTCTTCTTTTTTTTGTAAAAAAGAACCAAGTTTCTTGACCTTGTGGGTGTCAACATGGCAAATGGGGTTCATGATCCCAGAAATAAAGCTGTCAACGTGTGAGCAATATCCAATACGTCGGGCAGCAGAAGAAACTTAGAAGGACTTCCAGAATTTAGTGGGAGAGGCTTCCATACTCTGAATAACACATTAATTGTCTTCCAAAACAAACAGCTGTATGTGAAGTCTGTAGAACACCTTTAAAGTTAAAGAACCACCTTACCTGTTCTAGAAACCAATCGGGACGATATCCTTCCCCATCCGTCCGTATCCTCATCTTCCTTAAGGGAGCGATATCTGGAATCTCCATGATGAAAATATCCGTTTGGCCAACTTCAAATCTGGAGATAGGAAGAAGAAGAAGATGAAGAAGAAAAAGAAGAAGAAGAAGAAGAGGAGGAGGAGGAGGAGGAGGAAGAGGAGATTAGATTTATACCCCGCTCTTCACTACCCAGAGGAGTCAGAGTCGCTTACAAACTCCTTTCCCTTCCCCTCCCCACAACAGACACCCTTTGCGGTCGGTGGGGCTGAGAGAGCTCTTTCCAGAACTGCCCTTTCAAGGACAGCTCTGACAGAACTATGGCTTGCCCAAGGTCATCCAGCCAGGTGCGAGTGGAGGAGTGGGGAATCAAACCCGGTTCTCCCAGATTAGATTCCGCACACTTAACCACTACACCAAACTGATGTATGCATGAGATGTGGGGTGTTATTTGTGTTACCTATAACTGAGGATTTTTCACACTTTTTCTCAGTCCTGACACAGAGCCTGTTTCCAAAAGCAAGCATATCTCAATAAACTACCACTGCTTAAGTGTGTTGTGGAGAGTGTTTTAACTGGGAGACCTGACAACTGGGGCATTTCAGGTAGCGTCTTCGAGGGGAGTGCTGTTCAGAGCGCCGTTCTGACATAGCTCCAGAGCATACTTGGGGCAAGAGAAAACTTTTGTCCTGTCAAAATCAGTCCTGGCACAGGGTTTCTTCAGGGCCCAGATCCAAGATAACTGACGAAGGGAGCTTTGACTCTCGAAAGCTGATACCCCCCAAATGCTGTTGGTCTCTAAAGTCCTACTTGGACTCGAATCTAGCTCTTCTGTTACAGATCGGCCAGGCTATCCTCCTGAAACTATCTACTTGGGGAGAGGCTGTGGCTTAGAAG